AAAGCAATAATCATAGTAAGACCTGACCACAGTGTGTCTTGGTTGGTACTGTTACTACTAAGCTTTGTCTCATGAGGCAAGATCAGTCTAGCCTCCCAAGATTAGACGTCCACTTCTAATGTGCCCTTGGATCAAATGGACCAATGCAGAGCAGGACTCGGCTTCTCATGACAGGTCTGTGAAAAGACCATGTGCTGGGGAAGGTAACTGCTGATGTGCTGAGATGCAGCTCAGCACAGTCCCTTTTGAACAAGAAACTGGAGTTGGGGCCCAGTACTGTTCAAAGCCATGGTCTAAAAGAGACCGTTAATATCATATAAGTCGCCAGAGACAAGAATAAAAACATTCTTGCCTAGGGGATTTCAGGAACATGGGAGGAAGCAGGGAATTTTTGTCAAGAGAACACGCCTGGATCCCAGAAGAATCATACTGATGGATCCTCAACTTTTCTTAAGGCAAGCCTAGACTCTCAATATTGGCAGAAGCCTACTGCTAAATTAACAGGCACTCTGTAATTTCACTGTATCACTAGCTGTGAGCTGGAGAAAAGTCGTTTTTTAATTTTCTAATGTCATTTATTTCTAGCCTTAATACATTGACTTAGCCTCTGGGTTTGTTTGTTTTTTTTTTTTCTCCTCAGGAGGGGGACTATTGTCTCCAGTAAAATATAGTCATGTCTCAGCAATCCATTTATTGCTTATCCACTTGATGGGCTTCTCAAACAACATTTTTAATTCCAGGATGATTTCCTCTTTGTGGGGGAGAAGTTGCTTCAACTATTTATTGTTCTGTGCTTAGAGAACAAAAACTAATTTTAAGATTAGCCTCGCCCAAAATTATGATAGTAACCTCCTAACAAATCTCACATCCACCTTTTCTACCATTCTTTCTTTATCCCTCCAATAAAATACATACTGTATTCTAAAGACGAATCTAAATAATTGCTTGCTTATCTTACTTGAAATGATCTCTTCAGTCATCAGCCTCTCTCCCTCCCTCTGTGGGAGAGTTAAAGGCTCCCCATAAAAGACCAGCATTCAGCTGAACAGTTAGTTCTGGTTTATTTTGGTTTGTTTGTTTTTAATGCAGAGACCATGTAATACAGAACACTATGAAATATACTTCACAAAATATCATCTTCTGAGTGGAAAATTTTGAACATGTTAGCCATTCTCCTCTGAAACAGGATAGCCTGGGCCGGAGCATTATGCTGGTTTTCAGGAGTAATGATAATTCCCTCCCCACTTGAAATACATTTATTGCTGAAAAGCCCGGTTTGAACAAACTACTCTTGGCAACAGTATTTCCCCCAATAGCTCTGAATCAATTCCTAGATCAAAACCTCTTTCCTAGAGAACTATTTCTGAATTCTCATTTTGAGAGGACCTTATGGGTGATTTTAAGTTCATGAAACAATTCCCTGAGTGAAGTAGTTGCCACACAATAAACTCTCCAAGGCTTAGCTCGTCCCAAATCAAGCAGAGGAAGCTCATTAGCTGAAGGGTAGGAAAATGACTTGGTTCTAATAAAAAATAGATGATCATGAATATTTCTCTGTCTTAACTTGGTCCACAAGAAGAAAGACACATCTGGAAGCAACTGTAATAACTTCATTTAGCCAGGTGGTTGCTGTTTTTAAGAGTTCTTTTTGAAATTTGGTTCAATGAAACATTTTATAAACTCAAAATAAGTACCTCCGGTTATAAATTCTTTTAAAATGAAATTGATTTCTCATTCAACTTCTGAGTTTGGTTTTCAGTTTAGCAAGAATGGAAAACCAAATCTTTCTTCTGCCTAAAAATCCACAGAATAAAATGGTACGATCACTTTGGAAAACAGTTAAACATAAATTTACATACAGTCCAACAATTCCACTCCTTGGTTTCTGCTCAAGAGAAATGAAAATACAACGTCACACAGAGATTGGTAAACAAATGCTCCTAACAACATGATTCATAATAGCCAAAAAGTGGAAACCATCTAATGTCTGTCAACTGTTGCATGGATAAACAAAATGAGGCATATCCATAAATGCACTACAATTTAGCAACAAAACACCTACTGCAACATGGATGATCTTAAAAAATATTCTGCCAAGAGAAAGAATCCGTATTGCATAATTTTATTTATATGAAATGTCCAGAAAAGGCAAATCTATAGAGATGGAAAGCAGATTTGTGTTTGCCTAGGGCTGGAAGGTGGGAAGAGAGATTAACTGCAAAAAGGCACAAAGGATTTTTCAGGGTAATGGAATGTTTTAAAACTTGGCAGTGTTGACTGACGGTTGCAAGACTCCATACATTTACTAAAAATCAGTGAGTGATACAAATAAAATGGATGAATTTTATGATACATAGATTACACCTCAATAAAACTGTTTTTAAAGGTATGCCCACACAGACACACACAGGGAGACACACAGAGACACACATACATGCTGGTTTCTCCACCACCCAGAGAGTAAAGTCTGAAGTCCAAATTCTCTAACATAGCATGAAAACTCTATCCCCTTCTCCCTCTCCAGTCCAATGGCCTTCATTTCCCACAAACACAACAGTGCAATAGATTTTCCCTTTCCCAGAACATGCGGTGCTGTTTCACATTTCTGCACTTTTTCCCCACCTGAAAACCCACAACCCCTTCTCTACCCAGGGAACTCCTACTCATCTTTCAAGACACAATGTCAATTAAACTTCTCTGAAGTGGTACCTTAGCTGTCTCAATCAGAATAAGTTCCTTCCTCATCGTGTTCCCATAGAATCGATGTATGTGTATGTGTGTATGTGTGCGTCTTATGTGTGTATGCGTGCATGTGTTGTATGCGTGTGTGTGTGTATACCATTTCTTATTTGTATTATAATCATTTGTTTACAATGCCACCTCCACTGTGGGTTTTTGTGTTTTTTTGGAAGGCAGAAAAAAAAAACCCTACATACTAATGGCTATTTTATGTTGAACATTTACTCTTTGCAATGTGCTTTTTACATGTTACTTCTAATCCTCATAACAACCCTGTAGGTGAGAAATTACTGTCTCCATTACGCAAATGAGGAAATCAAGGCTCAAAGAGGAGGTACAACATGTGTAGGATCACACTGGCAGTAAGCAGGAAAACTGAGATAAAATCCATATAAGCTAGGCTCCAAAAATCCATGTACTTTTAACTAAAGTGCTTCTGGTTCATAAGTAGAACATAAAGAAGAAAGGATACATATATTTAACGTATTGTAATGGCAAGAGTTGTTAAGACCTGATTACTAGTATCCATTCTATCACTGATCATTTAATGTTGGAAAAGTCATTTGACAACCTGGGCCTCAGTTTCTTTATCAGGAAAAGAAGAAGTTGGACTAGATAATCTGCAAAGTTCCTTCCGGTTCTAAAAATTCTGATTCTATGTGCCATCTGGCAACCACTGGAAATCAAATATACCAAACCAGCGCACACTCTTTGATGATAATCTGTCATCTCAACACAGGCCATATCTGGTGATGTTACCATAATACACTACCATGGGCTGATCCCAGCAGCATAAGTGCTTGAACATTTCTTGTGCTATTTCTTAAGCAGCTGTTAAAGAGTAGGACAGGACTCCCAATTCTCTCTGACTGCATGCTTTATGAGATAGTACCCAACACTTGAACTTCTACACTGCCTTGATGTCCATCTCTGTCCTAGCACAGGCTGTCAACATTACTCACCTAATAAATGCTACCTGCACAGCGCCAGGCATTGCTCCAGCTGATTTGCAAGTATTCACAAGTATTCTCCTAACCTGCCTCTTCCCTACAATTCATTCAATATATTGCCAGATAAAGTTTCCTGAAACGTAGAAACTCTCACTGTGTCATTCCTCTGCTGATAAGCAACTTCCACCCCCCAGCCCAGCATTTCATTTCTTATAAAGTCAGAATCCTAAGTCTGGCTTATATGTTCTGTGGTTTAGTCCCAATCTATTTTTCAAACCCTTTTCTTCTACCACTTTATAGTCCTTGCATTCCAGGCAAAATAAATTACCTAAGGGTCACTGTATTCAAGGGAGATTTTTAATAGAAGTATAATTTCTATGTAAACATAGTTTTAAACAATATCATAAATCACTGTAAAATTTAGAACATGCTTTCCTGCTAGCATACAAACTGGACTCTGTCCATGCAATAGGTTTATGCAGCTTCTTGTGCTGGTCTCTTTCTAGAATGCCCTTTCCCATCATCTACATATTTCAAATTCTTCAAATGACCTGCCATGTCAAGTGCCCAATGTGGTAACTGACATGTAAGTATTCAATACATATCTTTAGCTATTCAAAGCTGCTTTCTGTCCCTCTCACTAGTAATTTCTCTCCCTCTCTGAACTCATACAATCTCTCTCAAGGAGCTTACTAGTTTCTATTTTGTTTTATATTATTTAATGTGAATGAGAATCCCCATGATCAAAAACTCTTGGAGAAAAGGGTATTGGGTCTTAGTTCTATGTGTACCCAGCACCAAACACAAATTATAAGTGCTCAATAAATATTTCTTTAATGAACGAAAATAAAATTAGTGGGAGCCACCAGAGTGGCTGACATCTGGAAATGGAGTGGGGATGGAGTGGAGGTGCTATTATGTGCCAAGTACCATGCTGAGCACAACTTCATCCATTATTTCATTTACTCCTTTAAAAAACCCTAAGTAGGTGCTAATAATATCTCCATCTTACAGATGAGGAAACAGGGTTAGGGAAACTAAGACATTTGCCTAGGTCAAACCAAGTCTGTTTGGGTCTTCCCAGTACTGTACTTGTCGGCTATCCCTCTTCTAATCTTTCATCACCTCAAGGATGTTTCTAGGACAACACAAAGCCCCTCGTCCCTTCAGCGGGGCGAGCCGCGCAGTTTCCTGATGAAATTCCCGGAGTGCGGGAGTGAAGAGCGCACGGACCCCGCCCGCCGCGTCGCTGGTGACGTCATTACGCAGGGCCGAGGCGGCGCGGCCACGTCCTTTAAATAAGGCCTTCCGAGGGCGCGCGCGACAGTGTGAGGAGTGGGGTGGAGCGTGTGTGGAGTGGGGGCCGCGGCCCGGGTCAGAGCCGCCGCGGACCACGAGGTGGGAGGAAAGGATGCCTTGCAGCCGAGACGCGGAAGGGAGGGCGCTGCCTTGCAGGCGGGCACGCGCGTGAGGGTGGGAGGAGGGAACATGGCGGCCCCTTCGGTCGGGCCAGGACCCTACGCTCCAGGTTTTGGCGCGGCCCCCTCCCTCTGGCTTTGCTCGCCCCTTTACTTGCCTTACTGGAACCTTGTTTCTCCTACCGTCCCTTTTCCCTCAGCCATTCCTTTTGTCTTCATCAACTCTCCCTCCCCAGCCCCAGATGGTGTCATAATGTGAGAGGGGGATTATGTGGGGGCAGGTCAGGCCCGTCAGGTACTGAGAGACCGACTTCTAAATTTGACTGCTAGTTTCTCACATACCACTTTATCAGTACGTTTGGGATGACAGGAGAAGCACAGAACATAGAGTGGTCAAATCAGATTTGCAGTCCTGGTGATTCCTCTGATTCTGTGAAATGTCATTTAAGTCACTTGGACCTCAGTCTCCTCAAAAGTGAGGTTCTTTTTGAAAGATTCTTGATACCCAGAGAGTTTTTGTCCAGCATTGCTTGCCAGAATTTGTCCCATAACCGTGTATGGTTGGGAAAACGGAAGCAAGATTTGGGCAGTAAGGGAATAGAGGGGAGCTGAGTTAAGACTTAACAGCCCCATGCCCTTAAGTGATCTAGTATGTAAGCAATGAGAACACCATTCAGTTTTGACTCTATTTCCACAGTGAGTGTCCTGAAAGTTATGTTACCGGAGTAAGTTAAATGGAAAAGGATTCCTACATCAGCATTGCTGTTCTGCTACAAAGAACCTTGGGAATATTCATCTGTGTGCTGTATTCTGTTTTAGGTGTCCCTGTCAGTTGAGGGTAGGTGTTACAGGTTCTTCCACACCTAAGTTAACAGCCCCTGGCCCAGCCAGTCACCTGCTTTTGATCTTGACCTTTTGTTTTTCCTCAGTTGAGTGTAGATTCTGGAGAAATTTTGCCTCCGCTGGAGTCTGCACTGCGAGGCAGCAGAATTGTGAGCTAGAGTGAAGCAGAAATCTAGGAATATGACCTCCATGATGGCCATGGGTGAACCAAGGCTGAACTGGTGAGTTATGTCTGTTTGAAATCTGAAGAGGAATGAAGTGGGGCTGGCGGCTGGATTAGGAAAGGAGGGTTTCTGGCCTGGAGAGATTTGGAGGAAAAAAAAGAAGATGCAAGTTCAGTGGCTCAGAATGTACCCTGGTCTTACCTTCACATACTGAGCACTTTTGAGTCATAGCTGATTGCACTTCCTCTCCTAAAATGACAAAAGTTCATCACTCAGATTACTACTAGGTATAACCCCATCATGTATTTATTATTTATTGTTGGTCTCTTAGTGAAGGAGAGAGGCTAGAATTCTCTTGCGTCCAAGAACCTTGCCCATTTCTGTACAGCTAATAGAAAGACCCTCTTTCTAATAGACAAGCTTCATTTTGTTATATTAGAATCTACATCAAGTGATAATATAAATGCATAGACTGTGTTTTAGAAGTGTATGAGAACTTCACAAATAGCACACTTGGTAGGTGTAGTTTTGTAGGGATCTAATACATGTGCTGCTTTAAATCAATTTAACACAAATTTACTGAGCATCCACTCTTTGCTAGACAAAGAGAATACTAAAGTTACAAGAGGTTACAAAGATGATTTAAATAGTACCTGACTCATAAGATTCAATCAGTATGAGCTCAATAAGTACTTTTTTTAATATTGCCAACAGTGCTCCCTTACCCCAAGGAGCTCATTGCCTTTGAGCCCATGAATTTGTTTTTGTATGATATGCAAAAATCTTGTAACTTAATGAGCTTTCACAGATACAGTACCATAACAAGTAATAAGAAATTACACTGTTGCATAGCAAGTAAGACATTCTAATTTTTATCATTTATACTTTAACCATAGTTGTGGGTTTTTTGCTTTTTGATAAACACCTTTAAAAACAATGAGTATGGAGCAAATATGCTAAAATTTTCTGTTTTGGGAATGGGCCAGCCAGAAGTTACCATTTAATGGATTGTTCTGTTGTAAGTTTTAGGAGGTGTATACATTTATGCTCCTTGTCATAAAGAACGTGTTCAGATGCAGCACAGATGCTCTTAAATGCTATTTACATTGTGAAACCAAATGTAGTTTATAGCCCTTGGAAGTACCTTTTCCCACAGAATCTTAATAATCTTTGTCCTTTCTAGGTTATGGTTCTCATTAGTTTTTTTTTTTTTTAAAGATTTTATTTATTTATTTGGTAGAGACACAGCGAGAGAGGGAACACAAGCAGGGGGAGTGGGAGAGGGAGAAGCAGGCCTCCCGCAGAGCAGGGAGCCCGATGTGGGGCTCGATCCCAGCACCCTGGGATCATGACCTGAGCCGAAGGCAGACGCCTAATGACTGAGCCACCCAGGCACCGCGGTTCTCATTGTTTTTAATTCCTTCAACAAGTATTTATTGGTTCCTCACGATGGTTCCACCACTGACTATAATATGTTAGTCTCTAATTATGATGTTATGGAAAATCATATAAGACCTTACAAGTGGTTTTAGCAGAGGCACACCATTCATCACATTTGCCAAGTTAATGAAAATAGGTAGGATATTTAGTCTTTGTAGTGTCTCATGACCTGGCACAATAATGCGTGAAACAAAACTAAGTTGAGAAAGATTTTCTTTCAGCAACCAAACATCTTAATGTTATACCACAGAGCCTGAGGTGAGCCCTGCCCCTGACAGAATCTTATTGTACCTCAGTCTTTTCTATCTTTAACTCTTAAGTATTTCTGATATTTAATTGGGTATTAATGGAAAAAGCAAGGCTGATTATTTGAACTGGAGAATTTCAGAATGAGCCTAGGCTAAAAGCTATCCAAGTAAAACATCTAAACTCAAACATCTGATATATGAAATTAAAATTATTAAGAGGTGATTGTCTAGGAAAGGGGCTATGGGGGCATGTAGTTGTAAACTACAATTGTACCCTTATGCTGCTTAGTCTAGCATGAGATTTTGAATTGTCGCTATAAGTAAGTTACTTTGTTTCACAGGGATGTTTCCTCAAAAAATGGCCTTAAGACATTTTTCTCTCGAGAAAATTATAAAGACCATTCCATGGCTCCAAGTTTAAAAGAACTATGTGTTTTATCTAACAGGTAATATATTTATTTATTTGGTTGTTTATTTTCATATTTGACTGTTATTTTTCAAGCAATTGAAGTTTTATATCTGTATCTACTATTAAACATTCAAATTAGAAAAATGTAAAAATTAGAAAATGGAAGAACCCAGTACCCAAGGATGACTAGTCTTTGGTATATGTGTATTTATATATATAGGTATAGATATAGATATATATAAACAAATCTTTTTGGACCTTTCTCCACATAGATATAAAAACAAAAATGAGATCATACTATAAATAATATTAAATACTATAAAACTGTTTTGCAGTTTGCTTTTTCATTTAAAATAATATTTCAAGTATCTTTCCATGCCTCTCTATATAGCTGAATCTTCGTAATTGTTACATAATGCTTCATTATGTAGATATACTTTCAATTCATTTACCTAGTCTGATATTGCAAAATGTGTTCCTCTTTTTTTGTTACTATAAACAATACATTGATGAAATTCTTGTAATAATTTTTATAAGATAAATTCATAGAAATTGAATTGTTCAGTCAGATGGCATATGCATTTTATATTTTAATAGATACTGCCAAATTGCCAGAGATTTTTTTCCCTCAGATATGAACATGCCTATTGAATGATAATTTTCCCTTCTCACTGTTTGCCTGCCTGTAACTGCTCTTCTTTCCTTTGTGATTGGCTATTTCTATTCTATTGTGGGTGAGTCTTGAAACCAAGTAATTGGGTTTACTAGAAAGGACTGTAAATATGACAGGTGAGGAATTGGGGAGCTTCTCTAGAGGAGCTCAACATTTACTTTCATCCTTCTCCACTTGTTTTGCAATTGAGGAAGTATATTTCCAGCCTCTGTTTGGAATGGGTCCCCATCTGTTCCTGCCTTCTCAGTACCCTTTCTGTCAATTAGCATCTCTTCCTACTGCTATATTTTCATTCTCTCTTGATCGGTGTTTAAAGGTGCTCAAGTTTTTCCTGTCTCAATCCCTGGACTCCATTGTTACTTTCTTACGTCTTCTGTTATTTGTACTTAGATTTCTTTAAAAACTTGTATGTTTTTGCTGGGAGGAAACTATAAGACATGCAAAAAATGTTTAACAAAATGGCAATAATAATAAGTCCCTCCCTGTCAATAATTACTTTAAATGAATTAAACTGTCCAGTCAAAAGACAGATTGGGAGAATGGATTAATAAAACAGGATAAAACACTTCACTGCACATCTCACTACATTTGCTTTCACTGAACTTCCCACTCTAATCTGGCCTCCACCCTCACTAGTCTACTAAAACTGCTTCTCTCAAGATCATCAGTGACCTCTCGACTATAAAGATATCTCACTCTCCTAGTTTTCTGGTGATGGTGGTATTTCTGTCTCTTTTACCATCTTCATTTTCACGCTTGCCATACTGGCTCATTATACTCTCTGGAGCTTTTAAGGAATACTGATTTTGTACTCTCAACCTATGCTTTTGAATCTGAACCTTTAAGGATGTCTGTGGAATCAATTAACTGACCGCACTGATAGTCATTTAGGTTGTTTCCATTCCTTTCCTATTAAAACACTGAGCATCCTTTTATGCTATCCTTATATGCTGATAATATAAGTAGGATAAATCATATAAGAGGAGGTATGTATATGTTTTTTTGTTTTTTTTAAAGATTTTATTTATTTATTTGACAGAGAGAGACACAGCGAGAGAGGGAACACAAGCAGGGGGAGCGGGAGAGGGAGAAGCAGGCTTCCCGCAGAGCAGGGAGCCTGATGCGGGGCTAGATCCCAGGACCTTGGGATCATGACCCGAGCCGAAGGCAGACGCCCAACGACTGAGCCACATAGATACTACCAGAGTGCCATTAGAAACATTTTTTAAAAAGTGCTTTTTTGATTCATCAGATGAATAAATAAATTCACATAAAAGCAAGTAGATGTTGTAGTAAAGAGGCGATTTTAAAAGCAACATTCTTACCTAAGTGCATAATTGTAATGTCTTTGCTAATATCACCTATAGAAGATTGAGTAGATCCCATATAAATGCATCTGTGGATTTTTAAAGCTATTTTTTTATTAAACTTAGACCATTTCTTGAGGATACCAATTTCTTTTTTTAATTTCTTAAAACTTACTATCAAAGAATTGCCTTTGTTTATTGGAATCAAAGAATGCCTACCAATTCTAGTATCCTGCAAGGGGAGGGTAAAAATGTATATCTTTACAACTTTTTTTAAAGGTAAAAGGAACATGTATCTTTAAAAAAAACAAAAACTTTTCACCACTCTATATACTTTTATCTCAGCCTTCATCTTTTCAGACTAAAAATTTTTAATATTAATCTTCATCCTGCCACTGCTTCTTATTTATTTTAATGGTTGTTCTCAAGTTTAGCTCTAGTCAGCATGTCGTAGGTGTGGGTTATAGTCTGAATTATGTAAGGGAGATGACATCTTGCTGGCAATTGGTATAGCTTCTAAAATATTTTCTTCTTAGAATATCCTTTAGATTTCTGTATAGCACAAAATAATAGTATAATTTACCTTTTGGCATAGGAAAAATAAAGATATAAGGCATTGATTTCATATGTTTCTAGTCTTTTTTGCTCACATTAAATTTTATTAAGTTTTGTTAAGGAATGGATTTTCAGACTATTAATTTACGGATATTTTCTTGATGGAAAAATTAGAAAAAAATGTAAAATTTTTATTAACCCTAATTTTGTGTTTTTTGTGTTCTCTAACATTTGGGAAAATACTTCTAATTACTCTGCTTTCTGCAATAGGAGGTTTTTATTCAACCCTTCTCCCTCTACTGGAAGGTAAACATTTACCTTTTTTTAAATTAAAATTTTGGTTGTAGACACTTATAACTGAGTTTTGAGCCAACAATGGGGAAAGTAGCTTCAAATAAAAATTATGAAATTTCAACATGTTTAATATAGAAAACTATAAATCAAATTTAGGAGGTACAGGTAGACTTTAGATGGGGGCTAGAAGCACCATTTCCAAATGCCACTTAAAGAAGCCACCCAAACCAGTAGACTTAAAGCGTAGGAGACTAAAAGTTTGAGTTCTGACTTTTTTTTTTTTTTAGAAACGTTAAGCCAAAAAAGAGAATGGGTGGTTGACAAAAGGAAGGGGGAATACTTCAAACCATCAACTAAAATAAAATATAATGCTGTAAATGTGGATAGAGAAACCCTGTCAGATGCTTTTGGCTTGCACCCTGATGAAGATTTTGACAGCACTGCACTCGGAAATGATCTTGATGTGCTGCCATTTCATTCTTTGCTGAATGTAGCCAATTTAAACTGCTAGAATTTCTTGACATTCCTACTCTGGCATATCTGAGTCAGCATCTTGTTGCTGCAGCAGCTTAATTAAATTTGCCAGTTTGTGCCACAAGGACAGACATGTTCTCATATTCAGAGAGACAGCTGTGAAGCAGTATTGTTAAGAGCTGCGGACACAATGCTGTTAGGTTTGAATAGCTCTCAAGACATTTTCTAGTGAGAAATCAATTTGCTGTAATACATTTCTCCCAAGATCAGCAGTTAATATTCATTTTGTTAACCTAAAATATGCTTATTTTTATACAGTTACTGGAGAAACTTTAGTAGCTAAGTATGTCTTCTTTCACCTGTATTATTTTCAGAGCCAAGTTAAGCATCCTTAATTTAATTTCCAAAATTCTTTTCCCATTCACTAACGAGCTCTCTTGATTAGTTTTCCATCTTTAGTTTAGCTCTTTAAGGGTGGGGCTGGATATTTTGCTTAATTTGGGGGCCTTAACTTTTTTCCTAAGAATCTTGGCACTTTTACCGTAATTATTCTAGTATTATAGAGCTGATTTAAAACAAATTATCGGTAGTTTTGGATGGGGCACAGCCTTTATCGAGACACAGATCTAGATTGATAATTCTCAGCCTTATCAGACCAACACCCTCCCACTTTTCATTACAAATATGTATGAGAAATAATGTAACTCCTTTGCTAGCCTGAATTAAAATTCATAGATAATAATACTTTAAAAATGTCTCAGATATGTAAATGTGAAATCAAAGGAAATAATTTATACTATTTATTTTAATATGTAAATGCATAGATACTACTGTACTAGAAGATATAATGAAGTAGGCAGATGCACCAGCTAAAATGAACAGGGTTGGATTTTTTTTTAAGATTTTATTTATTTGAGAGAGAGAGAGCGGGGGAAGAGGGAGAGGGAGAAGCTGACTCCCTGCTGAGCAGGGACCCAGATGCAGGGCTCGATCCTGATCCCAATCCCCAGGACTCAGATCATGACCTGAGCTGAAGGCAGACGCTTAACCAACTGAGCCACCCAAGCACCCCAACAAGGTTGGATTTAAGAGAAGTTAACATGAACTATGCCATAGAAGAATCATAAAAATAAAAGAGAATAAAATGTATTGTTAGGATAAGTAATAACAGACCAGATTTGTTTGTATATGATTAAAGGAAAGCCTAAAGGAACCTTTGAAAGTTGTGTAGTATACTCTCATACATTACATTACAGGCAGCTAGTATTCCTCACCTCTTCGTGCCTTTAATTCTCCCCTTCTTTTTTGACAACCCAGATGCAACCACGGTCTTCTAAAATTCCCTAAAGAAATTAATACTGTCACAATTGAGCCCCTCCCCATTCTCCCTCTTTTTTTTTTTTTTAGGTTTTATTTATTTGACAGCACAAGCAGGAGGAACAGCAGGCAGGGGCAGAGGGAAAAGCAGGCTCCCCGCTGAGCTGAGCAAGGAGCCTGATGCGGGACTCCATCTAAGGACCCTGAGATCATGACCTGAGCAGAATGCAGACACTTAGCCAACTGAGCCACCCAGCCATGCCCCCCCACCCCCGCCCCGCCCCGCTTCTCTTCTCTCTCTTAATCCCTGATCATGTTATCCTTAGGATTCTTGGTCACCTATTCAGTAAGTTCAGTTTGGAAACCTGAGATCTCCATAGTTACACTCTATTGATATACATATATACATATTTACTTATCTTTCTTCCCCATTTATTTGTCTGATCCACTTGATTGTAAAGTTTTAGAGAGTAGAGATTGTATTGTTCCCATGTCCAGCACAAGGCTGACACATGGTAGTCACTTAGTAAATATTAATGAATGGGGGATGAAGAATGAATCAGCAGACCTCCATCCTTATTAGTTTCCCTTCTCTTATGTTACTGTTGTTTAATTTGGAACTAAATCATAGGGAACAGTTACTGTGGTGGAAATTAGAATTGTGGAGGCTAAGGAAGTGTAGTTGTGTGTGTATGTATGTATTTGTGTACTTAAAACTCTTATTAAAAATGTAGATTACTACAATTGAATACTAGGAATAGTGACAAATTATGAACAAGATAAGAACTTTGTATTCATGTACCTCACTATTGCAGAAAGGTGATTTTTTTTTTTTTTTTAGAAATTGGGGATATCTTTTCATAAATATGGTAACAGGTTCTCTAGTTACTACTTTCTCCTCTAGTGCATTTCTTTGTAGATATGCCACATTTTCTCTTTTGCATTCATTCAAAGCATAAAGACATTTCCATGGACTCAGCCATGTATGAGTGATAGAGGATTGTTCAACTTTTCTAAAACCACTATTGCTTCCATAAAATATGGCACACAGTGTTCGAATTTTCTTTTTAAATCTTGAGATAATTAAAGGAAACTAGAAAATATAGAATCTCAATTTGTGAACCTGTGACCTAAGCATATCCTGCTTTTAGTGGCTTTTGTTCACCATATTAACCAATACATCTTACTGAAGAACTTAAGCTTTTGAAAACAACTTGCATTGTAATAAAGGTGAACATGAAATACTTGCATCTATAATGGCAAGAGCAGTTTTCCTCTGTTGAATAAAGGGGGAAAAGTTCCAAATTGAATAACTTGTCTCAGGATTTTGCCTCTTCCTCTCTGTCAGATAATTGAAGGTAAACTTGTAGTATGATCCTATCCTGCAGAATACTTAATTTACACCAAATGGCTAAACATCAAAATGCAGGTGGCAGAGTTAGATAATAATCCAGAATTTACTATGTTAATCATGCTATATTCTCCCTGGTGATTGAGAATCATGAAGTTCCATGATAGTAATCTTCATGTGAAAAGCACATATTTCTAAATTGTATTTTTTTTTCCAGACGTATAGGAGAAAATTTGAATGCATCAGCAAGTTCTGTAGAAAATGAGCCGGCAGTTAGTTCAGCAACTCAAGCAAAGGAAAAAGTTAAAACCACAGTTGGAATGGTTCTTCTTCCAAAACCAAGAGTTCCTTATCCTCGTTTCTCTCGTTTCTCACAGAGAGAGCAGAGGAGTTATGTGGACTTGTTGGTTAAATACGCAAAAATTCCTGCAAATTCCAAAGCTGTTGGAATAAATAAAAATGACTACTTGCAGTACTTGGTATGTATTCTATTCTTCAGCTTCAGTAAACAGTATTTAAAAGTTAGGAAGTATTTTAACTTTGCTTTTATGTTTCTGGGTGCAGTTGTATTAACAAAAATGGAAAATTTTAGGAGTTTAATTGACAGAGCATTGGTGCTTTCATTCTTTTGTTGGTTCTATTATAGTTCAGGCATTTTGCTCTGGTTCTGAGCATATTTCACTCCAGTTCATCTTAAGTACTAGCAGAACAATTTTACATTGCTCACTGAACCAATTTTAAGTTTTTGTTTGATTAATTAGTAGTTTCAAGTTCTCAATTATATAAATGATGCTGTGTTGAACATCTTGGTTGCAAACTCTTTGTTCATATCTATAATTGTTTCCTTAAGATAAATTCTTAAAAATAAAATGGCCAGATCAAAAACTATACATATTTTTTGAGGCTTAGATCTGCATTTACACATGGGAAAATTGTTATGCACAAAGTTTAAGCCAGTTTGTACCACTATTGCATGAAAGTTTTCTTTAAAAAAAAAACCAAAAAAACAAAAAAACTTCACTAACCCTGGATATTACCTTTTTGCCTCTAATTTGATATGGAAAAAATGGTGATGCCTTGTTTTATATTAATTTACAGTGTTTACTAATGAAAATAAGCCATTTCCATGTGTTCATAAGCCATTTCTATTTCTTTTGTAACTTGCCTATTCATGTTGTTTGCACATTTTTCCATTTGAATGTTTGTCTTTTATGTTAATTAAGAGCATTTTGTGGAAAAGCTTATTAATTCCTAAATAGGTAGTGTGATATTAGTCATTTGCTCTTTCTACAGAGTTAGGTTTTTTTTTTTAAATTGAAGTGTAGTTGATAGGCAATATTGTATTAGTTTCAGGTGTTCCACATAGTGATTCAAGATTTATATACATTTTGGAGTTTTTAATAAGTTTGTCATTATTATATAACAGTGTTTACTCTTTCTCTGATTTCTGCTTTGGATAGAGACTTTAATTAGTCTTTAAGTCCAAATTATTAGAGCAGTGATTGAGAAGTGATTGTTTTTAATCAAGCTTATTCCATGACATGTCTACTTTTTTAAAAATCAGGATATGAAAAAACATGTGAATGAAGAAGTTACTGAATTCCTAAAGTTTTTGCAGAATTCTGCAAAGAAATGTGCACAGGATTATAACATGCTTTCTGATGATGCTCGTCTCTTCACGGAGGTAAAAAAAAAAAAAAATCATTTATTTAAACTGGCAAGTAATAGGCAATAACAGCATTTAAAATGTGTGATGATCCTGCCACAATCATATAAAGATATCAGTATTATCAATTTAGAGACCAAATTGTGTGTAGGTCTTTTATTCAGCATGTATTTTAATAATGAAAATACTAGCACCTCAAAATCATATACACTAGTAGAATACTCATATTTGTTTTTTTTATTCTACTGATCCAACTACCAAATTTGAATTATATTTTATTCACATGGATGGTTTGATCTGATGCACTGATGTTCCTTGTGAGAGAATGGGTGTTTAAGGAGTTACCTTGGTCCTTAAAAATCTGAATGGTCATTTAGTATTTAGTCATATAAATTTGTATTTGTTATCTTCATGGTAACCAGCTACCAAATGGAAGAATTTCAACTGTGAGTTCATTTTTTGATACTTAGATCATTCATGCAAATGTATTAGCAAAGCATGTAAACCACTATACTTTGTACCCTACCATCATTCAGTAGGCTTAGGAGAAATTCAAAATACACTACTTAAATGGTAACTATTAAAATGTATTATTGTATTAGAGTTTATCTACAAACACCAACATCAGTATGAATTTTTTTGAAGTCTTTAAAACTAATCATTGTATGTAGCAGTGTGATCCGCTTGACACTACTGAACTCTACATGTAAAATGGTTAAGATAGTAAGTTTCGTGTGTATTTTACCACAATTCAAAACAAAACAAAACAACTGGTCCCTATAATTTAGGGGCAGCAGAGGATATTAATTTTACCATTTTTTAAACATATTTTAAGGTGAAATTTTGGTGTTAATATGAACCAGAAGAATGATTCTTCTAAACAAATGGAAGAATTGCATTTTTATTTTCTCTGAATCTACATATGGTATACTCAAACCAAGTGTCCTATTTTTCCATATGGAAAAGGAATTGTAGCTCTTCCTATTTTAATAGTGCCTTTGAAGGGACCAGAATGATGGTTCTAAAACGTAAGTCATATCCCCTCATGTCACTGGTTTAAAATGGTTTCTCAGTTCACTCAGAAAGAGAGGGCAAAAAAAAAAAAGAAAGAAAATTAAAAAAAAAAAGAGGGTATTTACAAAGTTGTACAATGCCCTACATGATCACCCTCCCTCAACCACCGCCCCCCAAGCCCAGCCTGCTTCATCTTCTACATAGCTCCCTCTCAGTTCTCCTCCAGTCTACTGGCCTCTTTGTGTTACTTGAATACTCCAAGCATGGTCCTGCTTTAAGGACTTAGGCTCTTCCCATCTTTCTGGCAAGCTGTTCCCCAGATAAGTGCATGGATTAGTTCCTTGATTTAAGTCTCTAACTGTTCAGATGCCAACTATCAATAAGGATATCCCTAATTACCCTGTAACAAATAACATCACTTTCAGGGTTCCCTTTACCATGTTTTATTCTTTTTTATTGTCTTTCCCCACAACACCTATACATAAGTGCTTTTTTTTTTTTTTTTTAATATTTTATTTATTTGACAGAGAGAGACACAGCGAGAGAGGGAACACAAGCAGGGGGAGTGGGAGAGGGAGAAGCAGGCCTCCCGC